CACCAGATTTCATTTTCTGTGCATTTTTGGCTTGATTTTGGCTAGTAGGACTGTCAAGTTCTCGTATCTTTAAATATCGTGGATGAATGAGAAACTGCCTAAATCTGTTTTAACACACCCAACCACTTAAAAGGGTAACCGTTAGAATCAAAATGGATGGTCTTCAGACGCCGACGCGATTCCTGATGGCAGACATAAAGCCCCAACGCATCTGATAAACATGTTCCTTGCTTGTAACGTAAATACACAAACCCAATTCATAAAATATCCTAAAACATTGCAATTCTGGAAAAGCCGCAATGCGCAGAATGTGGAATATTCAAATTCACTAGTATTTGCAGTACCTGTGATACGCATTGATGCACTAATCGCGGCACTGAGACGTTAGGTGTGAAAACCAGGGACAGGGATTACTTAAACTGATCATGTATTCACTTTAATGTAAAATAAACTATCTACATCGGAATTAGTACCATTTTCACCGAGGGACTACTGTTGACACTTTTTGTTTTTTCATGTGTTGCCGAAGTGTAGGTTTGAGATTTATCATTTTTCAGTAGATAGTAGTACAAGCTAGCAAAGCAAATTTGTACAACTCACGCGGCCTTTGAATTAGTTTTAATTTCATTTTTTTTACTGGAATCTCAAAACACATTTTAAAATAACGCACTGATCCTTAGGTTACATCTGAATACCATCTCCTGTGTTGTTCGACGTGTTTTCTCCTCATATCTGATGAACTCGTGGTTAAAATCAGAAACGAGTCAAATTCATACTAAAAAAAGTTTTGAAAACGTTGCAAAATATAAATGGTTGGTCCCAGACTGATCGTCTAGTCTGGAAGTGAATGGGTCTTCAAAATGACGACCAGGAATCTCCACGTCGTTGCATAATCCAACTCTGGTGCACGTCGTTTTGTGTCTCGTAGATAAAACTCACATGCCTGTTACGCTGAGAAGTGCAATCGTTTTATTTTTGCTTACCAGATTAAGTCAATATCCGCGCAAGTTCTACGTCCAAATTTTAGAGTAGTGGTCCAGAAAAAACGATGTTCTATATGCCCACGCAAATGGAGATCACTGATTCCAATGAAATTGGTTATGCGCATGCAACTAGTTGATCTACGCACAAAACATGCAATATCAGTTTATTTGCATAGCGTCTGAGGTATTTGAGGCAGATTTAAATTTGTGCTCGACTTAACGGGCAAAGCATAACACAACCATTCATGAATGGTTGAACAATCGCTTGACGACCTAGTTTTGAACATCTCGAATGCGCTATCAGATTCACTAGCGTAATAGTAAGAGAACCCTGTGCATCGTCTTTGGTCATGTACATTAAACCTACAGTCTCTGACATGTCATGGCGCTTCACACCCATGCGGCCTCCCCGTCCATGGGCCAGTGTGAATGTACCAACCCTCCCACTAATAATTTCATTCCGCTAATGTACCTTTCAGATACATTTTTAGATAAATTGATAAAAAGTCTTTTCTTGGTAAATTTACTACACAACTTCTATCCTTTTGTGAGCCTTAACTAACTCTTTTGTCGCCCCTAACTCAGCTCATCATTCTTGATACAATACTTAATCGCAGGCAACACAATGCAATTCAGTGGTTGTGCGAGGGAATGTGGATCCGTGCAGCTATTGCTGTGATAATGGAAGCACACGACACTGACAGTCATTAAAGTCCTCGTCCCCCGATGACATCACACACTTGGCTAGTTCATCAAGAAGCGTTGATTGAGACCACACAATTTGCAAATGTGGTCATTTGAATGCACTGATTGGATAAGGTAAATAGAGTGATTGAATGTGGGTAGTTCACGAAGAAGCGGCGGCGGTGGCAGCAGCAGCACCGAAGACGCACTGTTCGTGGTCGAGGTGACTTTCATGACGACAGCGCAGTCGACGACATGACTCGGCGGCGGCAATAATGACAATGCGCTTGGCCATCACTAATGAGGTGTTTTTTCACCCGCCCCTAACGCCTTTTCAACCGATCCATCATCGGTTACATCGACTCCCATTATCACCTGCATTCACTAAATCAAGAGCACAGACTTGGACAAATCTCAAATCTACACTTCAGCTACGCACGAAAACACAAAATGGGTCGACATTAGTTCCCCAGAGTACATGGCACTTGTTCCTATGTTGATTGTTTAGTGCACATTAATGTGCATACTTGATCAGTTTAAGTAACACGATAGTAGTGTTTCCTGTTTTCGGTTGCCACACATAACTTCTCAATGCTGCAATCAGTGCATCAAGCTTGTGTAGCATCTAGATCAAATGGCCGCTTCGGTTGCCAACAGCTCACATATGTAGTGGACTGACAGCCACCCCGCGTGAGCGTGCGTGCATGAGGGCCTGAGTGGACCAATGACTCACCCCTTCTGTTATTGGCCTTTGTCACCATTCACCTGTTACGCACGCGTACTCATACGCAAACAAAGCCATATGGTTGATTTGATATCAATAAACCAGTCGTGTCCGCTCTCGCCTTTTCCACTCTACTCGAGTTGTCTTGGGCTGTTAATTAGAGGTTTGTAAGCTAGTACTAAGCTCAAGCTACTACACATACATTTCAACGTGTCGACAGTTCTTGACGCATTTCCTAGTCAACATTACTCTGGTGGCACCATTTGTAGAGCAGGATATGTAGGATATGCTCAACGACTGCGCTGCCTGTAAACACCGAAATAAGTGTAGAAGTAAGTCCATCTGTCAACATTTGAGAGAAGTCAGCAGAAGTCATCACTGGTTTTAGGAGAGAACCGTAGGACCGTTTCCCTAAGGCTAACGTCAGACACATCTACGAAGGTTATCACCAGACTATGTTTGACTTTGGAAATGCGTCAAGAAATGTCTGCGCGTAGAAAAGAATGTCAGCTATGGGCAAGCGAAAATGGTCGATTGAACTAGAACTTTCACAAAAATGAATCCTGTTTACACACATTCAATTACACAACTTACCAAATCTAGTTCATGCATTTAAATGACCACCTTTGCAGATTGCGTGGACTCAATAAAGGGGCATTGGATGTGTTATTCAGGAATCCGCATCGTTTGTTGACTGGGTGACTACACAAGTCAGCGTTTGATTATTCCCGCTATTTTTCGTTAATGTACAGTTTTAATTTACGCCGGGGGTCAAGAAGTAGACTAGCACAAAATAAAGAGCAATATGTCAGCAATAAAGTGTAAATTACAATTCCTTTTTTATCACTGAGGGTTGGGGTAAGGGAGGGAAAACTAGGCCATAACGAATACCAAGTAGACTGGGAGAAAACTAGGCCATGTTAAGTGAATACGATGACTGGAATAAAGCATTACAACGAAGCCATTTCTGATGAATCCTGGTTGTGCTGCATATCGAATGGTTAGATTTTGCCTGATATCGATGTACTGATGATGTCTATTTATGCACTATTTGCACTTAAACATTTTGTGAGAATACCGGCGACACGCGTCACTGCTAATGTGTTACTTAACCTGTCCTTGTGTTCTCTTTAGTGTGTATAAAACCATCAGTACCATTTACACCGAAGCCCTGTTTTTGACACATGTTGCGTTTTCATGTGTTGCCAAAGCGTAATTTTGAGATTATTCCATTTTCAGTTGATGGCAGTACAAGGTGCCAAATCGAATTTGCACAACGCAGGCATGCCTGCTGTTAGTTTTACTTCAATTCCACCTGCAATTTCAAAAGTCATTTTTAAAATAACACATGGGTGATCTACTTCGCCAGCACATTGCCTTTTCTGTTTTTTTCTTGGCCTGATTTCTCCTAGTGTGACTTTTCAAATTGTCGCGTCTTCAAATATGGTGGATGATTGAGATACACCTTAAATCTGATTCGCATTGATGCACTAATCGCAGCACTGAGGAGTTAGGTGTGATAACCAGAGACAGGGTTTACGTAAACTGATCAGGTATTCCCTTTAATGTATACTAAACCGTCTACACAGGAATTAGTACCATTTTCACCGAGGGACTACTGTTGACACATTTTGTGTTTTCATGTGTTGCCGAAGTGTAGGTTTGAGATTTATCATTTTTCAGTAGATAGTAGTACAAGCTAGCAAGTCAAATCAGCACAGCTCACGCAGCTTTGGAATGAGTTATAATTCTATTTTGTTCCTGGAATCTCAAACGCATCTTTAAATAACGCATTAGGATTGAAGTCAAAGCTGAATACCATTTTCTGTGTTGTTCAGCGGGTTTTCTTCTAATGTCTACTACAGCCGTGGATAAAATCAGAAACGGTGTGGACGGTTCAATGTAGACTCATCATGAGTTTGGAGCCCACTGCGTCAACTCCTATGCCCACAACACTCGTAAAAAACTGTCCGCAGAACACAGCCTACAGACGACGGCCACAACTTGATCCAAAAACTTCCATGAAAGCAGCATCAACCGCAAATGCAATGCTAAATAGTATTTTTGCACAGGACAGTGTGGGCTTGCATGGATTTTCTGTGACAACAACAACAGTTCACTACTTGAGACGAAGTACATTCTCAAAGCCATGGGGCCCTCCGACATCGCGTGGTTCACCACTTCACTAGGAAGCAGCAGCTGCAGCAGTAGCAGCAGTGACGCACAGAAGTCTGAACCTCTCTGCCACAAGAGCCTGGACGTAGCAATATACACATCCCGAGGTTTCGTTTACGAGGTAGTTCTGTGTCCAATCGATCCGAGACAGCCTTGACAATCGAAGCCAGATGCTCAATTGCAAAGAAAGCAAGTCGTGTGGCTGACGTAAGCAAAACTGCTGGTGTCTTCCAGATAGACCACAAGACATTCTCCTTGGCAGTCAGCAAGAAGCACTTTTTCACCAATTTTTAAGATGATTGTTGCTTGCATCATCCGCAAAATAAATTTCTACAGTGTCCCTAGTGGATCCCATGCTCGTGTTGGCAACAGGGGTCGAGGCGTCTATGCGAACTTCAAGATCGTTTTCATGAGGACGGTTGAGAAGAAGCAAAAGGGTGCAAACCGCATCAAGACAGGAACCTTTGCTGTCGTCAGTAAGCTTGAGGTTGCCAAGACAAAGAGTCCGAAGGTTTTCAAGCCATAGAGGTTGGCAGTCCCTAAGAAGGCGGCCATCAAGCCTGAAATTGCGAAGGCTAAGAGTGTAAAGGAGGAAGCCGTCGATGCCACAGAACCCAGGATTATGAAGGCCAATAATTCATCAGTCAGGAAGACGACAACTGGATCTAGGAACTTTCAAATAGGTATCTTTAATCGTAGACGCAATCCCGACTGCTGGTCTTTCATAGGTCAGTGTTTGTGAGCACTGATTTGCGGTGGTAATGAAAGAAGAGAGTACAACGCTACAGCCTTAAAAACACAGTACTTGTAATCAAGGCACTTTGTAAACCTGTGGTGCCCTTTGACAATGTGTGTTGCGTCAGGTTACCCGGAAGCAGCAGCATCAACAAGGACGCGCAGGTGTTTTCTCCTCCCTGCACTAAGCTGCTGAACTTAGCAACATGCACCTTCCCTAGTGTCGATGATGAGCGAGGTTATGATCGACAATGCCTTGCTCGAGATACTGGTATCGGGATAGACATGACATAGGACCGCATATATGCAGATGGTAAGACAATCTCTCCTACGCCTATTCGTCGCCTTGGATATCTTATTTATATACGCCATTATGGATCCCTTAGTCAGCCTGGTATGGCAACTCCTTCGTAAGTGCTAATGGTTTGTGCAAGCTACCTTGCCAAATTCTCCGGTTCGGGTAAATACTTCCATAACAGAGCGATAAAAGTGATGTGATCGCTCAAATTACAGGCTCCTCTCAATCCTTCAAGAAACATTCTCCTACAAATCAATATTTTTCGTAAATATTTTTGGTTCTTGCTGAGGTACAAGTGTGTCTTCAATGCACTATTTTTAAATGCATTAGACTATAATTATGCCTGTGAAAAAAGCGTGGGTTGATGCATTCACCGATGTAGCTCAGTACTGAAGCCGTTGGCATGTCACAACTGGAACGACGTGAAATGCTTCCACCAGTGCACTGTCCCAGTTCCATCATCTGCCGGATCTTGAATTCATACGCTTACCATCAGCTGCATGTTGCTGGCAGGAGGGTTGACGTTTTCGCGGATGCGAGTGTGAAATTCCACGATTGCCTCACGCTCCTTATCCGTCGGTGGTTCAGCCATCACCAATCAAATGAAAGCCGATATAGCAATAAGTAGCTGCAAGACGTCTCAAATCGGTGTTGTCGCAATGCACTCGTGATTTCTTAATCGCAATTTATGTGCATACACTACAGCGCGGAATCACGTACGATCTGTGCCCAAATATTTCTCACCAATGAATATGGTGTTGTCACCAATACGGCGACGATTGCAATGTAGTCATTTCAGCAATAACTGGGGGATATCAAAATTGTTAAGTTGTTTTTAAGAAGTCAGTTACTGACAAGGTCGGATTAATATCAACGAGGACAGAGTACAAACAGTGTGTGAATATGACCAAATTAACCCGACTTTACAAGCAGAAATTGCATTTTAACAAGCAGAATTATTTCAAATTGCAAATTTAAACACGCAAAATTATAACCATGTGAACACACTTGTGGTGCGCAGCCTGACAGCGAATTCTAGGGAATGCTGTATTACCTAGTGGGCCACCTGATTCAATTTTGTAGCAGTTGATACTGCACTTTTATTATAAGAATTTCTCTCCAGTTGAGGCTGGTGATTGTCACGTGCAAAATGAAAGTTTGCAGCAGACGTGCAGGTTACACATGAAATCGACAAGATCATTACCACAAGGCTTGGGATTCAGTGAATGTGTAAGTACACCAGTTTAATAATGACAGCCTTGTTTGCGACTACTGCTGCATGCATTATGCGTTGCAACACGTTCGCCCCAACCTCAAGGCACACATTAATCGTGTCAAATGGTAAGGTAACAAGAGTTCCTGAACCTTAGTTGGAAACCTAAAAATTCATTTTGCATTCTCTTAACTTACTTTCATTGAGGTTACAATTGTATCCCCTTAAATATTGCCCAATTTAACATTGAGTGTGTAACTAAGTTTTGTTGAAGGTGTACTGTCAAAAATATTATTTCAGTACCTTCCACGGTTAGTGCACATTTGTCAAATGCATTATTTCTCATGATTCAGCAACATTCAAATAAAAGTACAACTCCTTAGAGCCCAGTTTTTGTATTTGCAACATCACAAGTTTTCGATCAGGTTAAAATAGTTTTGGGATCCAATACTACAAACACACCGCAATTTAACAATCGATTCGGTGAATGGTGCCATGTCTGAACTTGACTACAAAAAAAATTAGAAATCAATATTAGGACGAGTCGGCGAAATAGGTTTATTCCTGACTGAATAGAGGCAGCAATCTGTGTCTACTATCGGAAAATCAATCTAGGAAGGAAACAAGTGGTGCTTCCTTCAAAGCGAATCATCAACTCCCCCAAATCTGTGTTCACAGGTAATGTAGCTGTGTGCGTCCTGTATGGTCTATTGTATCAAATCGAAACCCAAGATTTATTGAACACATGTAAAACCAGTTCCAAATCTTTCTTTTTTACCACGTTATTTAACGACAGAACAACTTGATTTCAAATCAGACTGATGCTTAGATATGAATGGGACTAATGTCTCCTCTAATCAGTTCAAAGTGCAATCTTGAACACTTGCTGGTTGTTATGAGAGTTCTACAACTTGTGCAACACTGAATAATGTGTTTTTGAAAGGGACATCTGCAGGTTATTTAAAAGTCATGACGTTTTCAATCGGCACAAATGCAATGAAGCCCAATACAGGAACAGGGATACTGTGTATCACGTAATTTACCTCTCTGACCGTGTTCATGTGAACATCAACTTTTGCAAAGCAACACGACATTCAATAAAAATCCCTTTTTGTGGATTATTACACTTGCATTTATTGCCGTTTGTGGATTAAATAGAAATCGAAAGAGTCAGTAGTACTAGTGATTTTACCGCAGTTGATCGACAAAACTCTTTTTACTACGAATGTCTCATTTTCATGATTTTACTTGACTAATTTAAACCACTGATTATCCAACCCAATGCCCAAAACGGCTATAATATTTAAAGCAACTTGACACAGACAAAGTTGCCTCGAATCAGATGCTGTAAACATAAGTAATTATAATGTATGTGAACGTCGCGTGCAAGTTCCGCCAAAGGAAAATCCTGCTCCACAAACTCAGCTTCTGCACAAATGATGACCTTAGATTGTACTAAATAGTGGCGTGAGTGTGGAACATTCGGTGGATTTTGACACGAATTGACTAGGACATTAGACTTGTTTTTGCCATCGCCTAACTGAGGCAAACACTGCAGCTGCACTTGTAGCGAAAGTAAGGTTGATGGAAACACGGGTTTCTTGGAATATGTTTCTCATGCTAAATAGTCGTACGATGTTTCTGCCACCTTGCATGCAACACTTCGCATCCACTAGGATTTTGTTGTTGCGGGGACGTGTTCAGTAGGCTAAATGCGTCCATGTTTACCGTCTCTATCCTTTTAAAATTGTTGCCTCAGTGTGAATAAGATAGTTGTCGAAAAATTAACTTTGTTGATCCACTGCAATGCTACCTGTAATATTAGTGATTATTTTTCAGATTTCGCCCAATCCGTATAAGTGGACTACAATACGAATAGTGTTTGTTTATCCAACGACCTTCAAGTCGCCTGTTCGGTTATAAGTGAAACGCCATTGCAAATCTTAGTTTGTTGCCGCTTTCTTCCAATCCAAAACAACTCGATTTCAAATTCAATGGATGCCCCACTGTGGATTGATCTGAGGTCTGCCCTAAAAGACTATAATGGCGGCAATATATTACCGTCTAAGCTTCTTGACATAGGCAATGTTGCTTCGAACCACATGTTGTTAGTCTACGTGAAGGTGTGATGCGTGGGTTCATCGTGTGCATTTTCTGCTGAACGGAAATTCGGCGCTGCAGACCGTTTTGCCTTAAAATATATTTTGCATTCTCGAGTAACTCAAAGGTTTGAAAATTGGCGTCAATCTTTAAAAAAAACGTTTGAAAAATCACACAAGTAAGGGTACCTTTAGTGCTTTCAGTCTTGTTCATTTGTCGAAATTTAGTTTAAATAATATGCATCGTCCATGACGCGTTGTAACTACTATTATTGGCAAAATGTAGTTATTGTGCCTTACGCAGAATTCACGCACTCGGCAACTCAACATACCCCAGCACTCTCAAGATAGATTGATTGAAGGGAATCGGAATGACTCGACTTTTAACCAAGTACAGCTACATTGTCTGCCTCGCTTGGGCAATGGCAAATATAAGTCCCCTGTCTCATTGAATTCGTCTCAAAATCAATAGAATTCTTCCCAATTAGGCAGACATTTAGTATAGAGCAAGGACATAAGATTTGGAGTAGCCAACATCGTGTCGCTGAATTTTCCTTTAGCAGAACATGCACACTACTTCACTCAATGTAGGTGAAAACACAGGCAATGCCAACGTCGTCACAACGTGTCACGTTCGACACATATTGGTTGAACCAAATTACGACAATAAGCGTGTGAGCAAAAGCATCAAAGTTGACATCATTTGTCATGTCCGCGGTGCACCAAGGCAGGCGTTCACTATGCTTCTGCCGTGAAGAAGATATTTGGTTTTCTCAAGTAACTTGGCTATGAGGAATTTTGTCACCATGTGCGCGAATAAAATGAATTGGGATGATAGCGACTCACTGTAACCTTCCCTCACCGCTGACTTATTCACTTACATCGCGGGTTATCCAACCCGACGCCTAAAACGGTGATGAAATTTCAACCTACTTGACACAGATAATGTTGCTCTGAATCACATGTTGTTATGCTGCGTGAAGCCTAAACGTGTGGGAACGTTCAGTGCATGTTTACTTAGAGCCCCGAGTGCTTGTCACCGCAAACACACAATAACAACTACACACTCGCATCAACCTTAGTTGTAGCCTGAGGGCGGAAAACTTTGTTGAAGATGACACGAAAGAAGGCAATAAACGTTCAACACGCGTGGACATTCAGTCATTTGCTTGCCAAAGATGCCATCCATACCCATTAGTAACCATGCTCAACGTTAATTATTCAAATTCTATAGTCATTGTGTTCAAAGGTGAATTCACACACTCGGCAAATCAATGTAATTTACTACGTTTAAGGAATTCACTCCAGCAGGTTTTTTCCACACTACGACAAAGCTTACACGGTTAGACTAGTGTAAAGGGACCGGAAGGACTATGCTTACAGCCACCCAACTCTGCGTCAAGTAGCTTAAAGCCATAGAAATGAGCCAGTAGTCGTGAACATAGTTTGGTTGATCGATTGCACTGGTAACTTTAACGCTACTAATGTCTTTTCAGATATCTAGCTCGTAAATTACATTGAGGTTACTAATGGTAGTATGGTCTTCCCTAATATCAGAAGTTGCAACAATTCTACAGCTCTGAAATTGGGTATGTGCAGCCTGCTTTGTCAAATTCTCCAGTTTGAGTAAATAATTCTGTAACAGAATGACAATAATTACGTGATAGCTGAGAGTGCTGGCATTTTTCTATTTTGTGAGAATATAAGGTTTTAGCTCTGGAATGAGTTTCAATTCTATTTTGTTCCTGGACTCTATAAACACACCTTAAAATGACAGTGTGATTTAGGTTACCGCTGAATACTATTTGTCATGTTTTTCGGCGTGTTTTCTCCTTATATCAACTAATATAGATATCTCAAGCAACACCAACGTCAAATTAGACCTGGCTACGCTGCAACCGCTTTTGAACAAAGTTTATTAGGAATGTGCTTGGGGAGGAGAAGTTGAGTGAGCAAAAAAGGGGCCTCACAGATGCTAGTCAACTCCAGATTAACGGTCACAGCATGTACTTTTCATATAAGTAAGAATATGCTTGTCATTGTCCCTAGATGACACCATAAATTGATTGTGTGGGCTTTAAAGTGGCCGTTTGTTGCACACATCCCAAAACGTTTTGCGTAATGTTTGGTTGTAAGCGGGAGAATCAGACGCGTTGGACATACAAGGCACTTTGATCTTCAATTGCAAATTGGACGGGCAGATTCACTCGATGGTGGCCAAACTTCAAAGCCTACCGGTGGAGCACAGCAGCCTGGGTTTGCACCGTCTCGCTGCGAAAGCGCAAATCTTCGAACTCGTGGACAAACACTCGGCTCTGAGTAAAGACGATGGTGGGAGGGCTGAACTGCGTCAGCAAATCGTGGATATCTCAACCAACACCAACGTCATCTCACCGTTTACCTCCTTCATCGGCGTTAGCCCAGACAAACAAGATGAATGCAGCTGGATTAGACCTTAGTACACCTGCGCTCTAGTCCTTAAGCCACTGAAAATGAACCGTACCATGAGGGTGTAAAATAAATCTGTGGGGGATTCATTTCACTTGTGGGTTATCCTCAAAAGCTAGGGGGTTTTGTGTTCACACATTGTACTTTAATATCATTTTAGAAAACTTTGAGAAACCAATAAGTAAGTTAAGCGCCCTAATGCTGAAAGAAAGTGTTTGTAAGTCAGTTTGCAATTCCTATTTTGTCTTCTATTTGTAGAAAATATACGCTAGTTCAGCGTTTTCGCGTCAGGATCTGTCGGAGTCAATTTTTTTCAAATTAAATTTTGATTGAATGCTTCGTGAGCTAGTGAATGCGGCTGGTAGATTCGGTGACGTTCCTTCATCACAGACTGACTCTGTTCGTGTTCAGGCACAGCAGGCATGCATTAAAACAAGTTGTTTCGCGCATTCCTCGTCTACGTAGGTGACTCGGCACCTTTGTTTAAGGTGAAATGACCCACTAAGTTTCACCCACTTTCTTAGCGTTAGTCAAACCATCCCTTAACATAATTAACCACAGTCAGGGGTTTGCTTGATGGACAAAACCCTCTGATTCCAAACCCGTGTAAATATCCTTCTGACTCACCAGATCCGCGTGCAACTAAACAAGCTGCACATGATCTGTAGCTGAGGTGTCTGAATTGACTTGCAACGCAAAAGTCCACAGTAGGTAGAAATGGCACTCAAAGTGGCACAACGTCTCTTAATGGGTTCGTTAGTAGATGCTGTGAATAGCCCATTGCATTCCACTATGTGCGATACACATTCGTGTGCGTCTAAGAATACCCAAAGTCATCATCAACAGGCGGTTAATTTTGCCAAATGCAAATTCCGAAATGTAACATTAAACCTCATCCACCGCTCTCTACAACAATCTCGAACGTGTTTAAAGATATATCGCATGACCAACTTCACGTAACTGCATCAAGGATTTTGCTTGAGTTCTGCCTCTGGTTTGAACTTAGTCTTTTTGGAACATCGTGCGTTTAGTGTGAGAGAAAATCTCCAGGTATATTAGCGACATCTCCAGCATCAATGTTTTGTGTGTGACTATTCCATGCTTGGCTGCTTTCTAGACTAAATTCTTCTAGTGTTAGCAGTTAGTGTTAGAGCTCTAAAGGCTTTTGATAAATAAAAAAAATATATAAGGAAGCACTAAAAAATGGCGCTCTTACAGCAATCGCTTTTGACATTCAGTTGTTTGTGATTCTTCCCATGTACCTAAGAGACTCGTTTGATGTCAACTTTGTTGATAAGAGTTTAATTATCAGGTGAATTGATCAAATTCATGCAGAGACATCCCTTTAAATATGACCTGTGTGGACTCGAGTGCACCGACTACAATTTGGACTAGGCATGTCGGTGTGTATTGGTCAGCCGATGTGTAAGGGATTAATAGCGATCGCGCCTGAGTGAACCCTGATTACTGACCTGACGGTGACAATGACTCATCTCCTTTCCATTGGTTGCTGCATCAGATGCCTGTCTTTCGTTCACTCATCCACACACGAAGACCCTTGGCTGGCGTGACGCTAATAAGCGGTCGAGTTCTCTCTCGCCTCTCTTCTCTCCCTTCTCGGGTTGTTACAAGCTGTTAACTAGAGGGTTGTAAGGTGACGAAGTGTAGGGTCGCACGGACGCGATTTGCGTTGAGCGATAATATCGACAGACGTAGTGAAGAATCAGGCTCAATGTGAATCAAGATGCAATGAAACAAACATCCTCCTCTGGTTTTTATAGTTAAAGTGGATTAAAATGCATGAAACGTCAAGTACTGTGTTGTCAAACTATAAGTAAAACCTCGTGGCATTTCTGATCCAAAGACATACAGCAAATTCTTCAAATTATTTTCACGTACTCTGATAAAACCTGCTAACAAGCAATAACCTCATAAGCCAACACGCTTAATCAGGCAATTGCGTTAAAGGGAACAAAAAAGACTACTGCACACCGGCGTCGAATGGTTATTAACCACCTTTACCTATTTAATCAGTCTTACACTCTTCATATCTGTCATTTCTATAGATACGATTTACCGGTCTGTCTTGGCAGGGGCTTGTATTTGTTTGCGTCGTGTTCAAGTGCAAATCGGAGTGGATCAAGCATGAGAAAAACACGCAGATAAAATCACAGACGGTTTCAACCACTGCAAACCAGTCTGTAATGAAACCTATTTATGAGGTGACTTACAACTTCAAAAGCGAGCCATACAGCCAAAGAGAAAACTTCAAATATCCTCATGTTCAATGCTACCTCAATCATGGTGATGTCCACACAGTAAAACACATGGCTGACAAAATTCAGGGTAAATTTAACTGAGCTGTATGTTGCATTCCAGATCTCGAGGTCACCTAATTGCCCAGCATCGCTATCTGTGGCCTCAAACTAAAGTCCAGATACCAAAAAGAGAGTAGAGAATTCGAACGAATTGTTTGTATTTGATGTGACCAAATCTCAGTTTTCATGCTCTGCCTCATAATCAAGTAGCGGTTTGTTAACATAGAAGCTCAAACCTTCATGTACTCAACCATTGTGCCCTTCACGTATGCAGCCCATTCAAAATCAACAACACCATCTGAACCATTAACAAATCATTGTTAATGCTCCTTTGGCGGGTTTCTTAATACACTTCTTCAGTAATCACAAGCACTGCAACCGGAGTTAGTGGTTGTGTAGGTAATCATGAATGCATGCCCCATTTCGCTTCAGCAACCACTTGCTAATGATACCCGATATAATTTGTCAAAGCCGTTGGTAATATGCCTCGTAAATGAAATGGCAGCTGAAGTAAAATTGGTAAGATTAAAGGTTGCACTGCATTAGGTCAACGAAAATACTTTTACGACAACCGTCTCATCCTCATGACTTACGTGGTTAATTCAAATCACTGATTATCCAACCCAGTGCCTTAAACGGCGATGATATTTAAAGCAACTTGACACAGACAAAGTTGCCTCGAATCACATGGTGCTGATCTAAGTGAAGGCAAACTGTGTGGGAAAGTTTTGTGCAAGTTCCGCCAAAGGAAAATTTGGCCCCACAACTTTGGTTACTGTAAATTTTATGACCTTGCAAGTGTGCTAAATTGTATCGTGTGTGTGGAAAATTCTGTTGATTTTGACACAGAGGGAATGAGACAGTAGACTCGCTTTTGCCATTGCCAAAATGGTGGAAACACTGCAGCCGTACTTAGTTTCAAGCTAACTGTTCCGTTTTAATGACTACGATGAACCACCTTTCATCTACATAACGGCCAGCGGTGCATTATATAGTGAGACGCTACTTCAGTATATTTCTAAACTTGTAGACAGTATTCTGAATCCAAAAGGTTATACTAAATGGAAAGTATTTCTACGGCAAAATTATGTTCAACGCATGCCCTGCTGCACCACAGACGTGGTTAATGAAGCTAACTTTGATGCCTTCAGTCATATTCATGAGTCGAAATTTGGTTCAATTAATATGCATCGTCCTGATACTTTGTGACGAATATTTTTCGCAAACTAAAGTTATCGTGCCTAGCGTAGAACTTACGTACTCAGCAACAAAGTACAACTAGGCGCATTGGACCAGTATTTTCTACATGTCAGCAATTTTTTTCACATAGGGGGTTAATTAAAGCGAATTGCAATAACTAGGCTTAGAACCAAGTACAGCTGCTGTGTTTAAGCAATGGCGAAATAAGTCAACAGAATTTTCCACATTCAAATTCACAAAAATTTCAAATTTGTAGTCGTCAAGTTTGTGGAGCCGAATTTCCCTTTGGCGGAACTTGCACACGACGTTTTTACACAGTTTAGTTTTAGATCAACAACATGTGATTCGAAGCAAATTTGTCTGTGCTAAGTTGCTTTAAATATCACAGCCGTTTTAGGCATTGGGTTGGATTATCAGTGATTTAAATTAGTTAAATGCAATCATAAAACTGAGACAGCAGTCGTAAAGGAGTTTTATAGTTCACCTTCGGTGATACCGTTAGTGCCACTGATTCTTTTTATTTTGCATTTAATCGACAAACGGCTCTCAATAATCGTAATTACTGGCTTTATTGAATGTCGTGTTGACTTGCAAAAGTTGATGTTCACTGAACATGGTCAGGGAGTTAAAATAAATAACACAAATTATGCCTGTTCCTGTAGCGGCCATCATGGCATATGTGCCGACTAGAGATTTCATGGCTTTGAGTTAATCTGTGAATTTTCCCAACAAGATTTGTAGAACTCTGTTTGCAACCAGCACAGGTTCAAGAGTGCACATTGATGGCCTTAGTTGATAGACCGTAGTGTTATTGAAACTTACTAGAGAGGACCTTTGTCTTGTACACATTAAGGCATTCATTTGACTTGAAATTAAGCTGTTCGGATGTCAGTAACGTGGTGAACAAAAAGGTTCTGAGCAAGTTTTGCAGGGATTTAATAAATGAATGGTTGTGATTTTGAACAGGAAACTACACAGAACGCACACAGCTACATGACCTGTGTACACAGATTCGGGGGGGGGTTGGTGATTCGCTAAGAAGGAAGTACCAGTTTTTTTGTTGCATTTCCATCCTAAGGTGCCAACAACAAAGTCATTGGTGAGAAATAGTAGCCAGAGATTGCACGTGATTTCACGTTGGAGTGAATACATATAAATTGAGTCTGGGAAATCACCAGAGCATCTAACATCTTGATATTGCGACAACACCTATTTGAGGCGTGATGCAGCAACTTATTGCTATATCGGCCTTCATTTGGTTGGTGATGGCTGGACCACCGACAGATGAGGAGCGTGAAGAAATCGTGGAATTTCACACTCGCATCCGCGAAAATGTCAACCCTCCTGCCAGCAAAATGCAGCTGATGGTAAGCGTATGAATTCAAAATGCACCAGTTGATGGAACAAAGACTATGAATTTCAGCACCAAGTTCAACCGTTGATATCACCGTAAAGTCATCAACCCACGTTTCCTTCACTACCATTATTGTATT